GTGGAACACGTCTTCTTGTTGTCCTCGTGCTCTCAACTCTCCATCGTTTGACGTGTTTCAGTGTCAACAATGTCCCCGTCTAGCAGGACGTTCTCACCCTGTTTGTCAGTGGAGTCTAAACACTCAATATTCTAAATGTTCACTTAGAACGACATTGGTTCTTTCTGGAGTTTAAAAGCTTTGGGACAGAAAGCACCGTGACGTCAGCCGTGTGAATAAGTAGCTCGTTGATTTTTAAAGCCTCACTTGAGTTAAGACACTTTAAGAGACGTGGTGGTTCTTCTGCATTCGATGTCACAAAGCTTCTCTGCTTCTAAACTCCACCTTCAGCCTCCGGAGGACAGAAGGAGAAGAAGCGCTGACACAGAATCAAACGCCTGTCAGCCGGCCCGAGCTCCACCCTGTCAGTCACTACACCACCCGCGGGAGGAGGAGCTGATGGGGCGCAGATGAAGAGGATGAAGAGGAGGCAAACGCTGCAAAAACATTCAAGATTTTTAGCCGTATTTTCTATCCAAGTGGGTCCTGGAGTGAAAGTCTGCGTCTGGAGGACAAGTGTGGACTCACTGACACAAACCTGTCCTCCTCCGTCCCGTGAAGGACGCGAGGACACTCGTGGGACATCTGTCCAACTCTAAAAGCGCATCTCAGAAACAAAGAGGAAAAACAAGTTGAGATTTAAAATACATTTATGGACAGTTGTTTCTGTCTTGGACTTGATGTGAAGACGAAAGAAGCAACCCAAAGACGGGTGGAAGGATTTAGTGAATTATTCTGAACCGTAATCATGTTTTGTAATAATAAGCTAACGTCTAAAAGCTGAATGTTACGTTGCTATTGAGGTCGAGAAAAGTTTCTGTGATTCAAATGGTGCAAAATACCTTCAGTAAATCCATTATTTGGTGTTAACGAGGCCGGACGTCAGGATGAAGATTCCATCAGTCCTTTGTGTCCTCAGAGGACACGACTCTTCTACAAGGAAGAGCTGCAGGAGGACGGACCGTCTCATCGTCTCCTTTTGAGAATGATTCTGTGAGTATCTGTGAGTATCTGTGAGTATGTGTGAGTATCTGTGAGTATGTGTGAGTACTCCTCCACTCCTCCGCTCTCTTCACTGGTACCGGTGGCTCATCCAGTTCTAAACATGGTGCTCAGGTACCAGGCTGTGAATGGATGGGGTCCAGCTTACATCCAGGACCTGGTCCAACCCGACATCCCGACCTCTGACCTCTCCGCTCTGCATGTGATAAACTGCTTGTTCCTCCTCACTGAGAGCAAAACACTCGACTAGATCTCCACTCTTTGCTGTCCTGCTCCTAAATGGTGGAAGGAGGTCTGTGAAGACATCAGGACCACAGAGAGCCTTCACATCTTCAGACTAAAGACACACCTCTTCAGACTCTACCTCCACTAACACACTAACTACCTGCAGCACTTACATTGGACTTATAATGGTTCTTATCTACAGCAAGTTGTAAAACGGCTTATTTGATGAAATCACACTTTCTTGTTTCTTGTTCTTCTGACTTTGTGTCCTGATGGTTGAAATGTTCTGATTGTAAGTCGCTGTGGATAAAAGCGTCAGATAAATGACATGTGATGTGATGATTATTCAAAGTGGAAACTTTCCATTAGAATTAACTGTATCATCATAAACAAACCATGAACTCTTATATTAGAAATCCAATTACTTAAATTAACAGTTTTTCCTTCAAAGATCAAAAAACAAGAAGCCAAATGAAAAATAATAAATACGAGAATGTTTCTTCTGGTGTTGAGAGTTTTGATTGTTTGCTGATAATTCTCAGTATCTTATTGCACTGAGTTCCTCCCACAGGAACAACCACATATAGAAAAATACTTTGTACCCGAGTTTAATTACACTTCAGCTTGTACGAGAGGAGTTTCTGCTTGTTCCCCGGTGAGTTATGGTGAGTGTAATCAACACACACACACACACACACACACACACACACACATCATCCATGTATTTGTTCACCCATCTAAATGTTTCATTATCTTCACATGTTTTCCCCTCAGCAGCAGAATATTTCCGGTTTCTCCGTCTACCTCGTTTCCTCCTGGTGATCCTGATTCTCCCGTTTCTGAATCCTTTATTACATCAGCGTCTCAGCTGAGCAGATTATTGATCGTCTTCATCCTTCACGGCTCCTGCAGACGCTTCGGTTCAGTGAGATAAAATGCTTCATTCCTCCGTCTGCTTTCCTTTCTTCACCTTTGAGCTACAGTTTGTGTCACTTCACATAAACTGTCTCAATCTATTTAAATCACATTTTCAGTGGATTTACAAATGAACCAGTTTATCACAGTTTCTCTCCGCTTTATTCTTACATTCAGCTTTTGGTTGCAGTGAAACTCAAATTAAATAATAGATGATTTTTATTTATTTAACCACTTTATCATCAAAACATACATTTTAATCCGTCTTTCCATGCAAATGAGTTTCCTTTGAGTTTCATCTTTAACTCTTAACGCACAAAACGTCCGGTCAATTCTTTCTTATACGTTGTGAGTCTGAACCCGCGAGTCATGAATCATAGCAGCGGTTCCCAGTGATCTCACCACACTGAAGCCGCCGGCTAGCCTGCTAAGCTAGCCTGCTAAGCTAGCCTGCTAACTCCCCGTGCTGCCACGCTGCGCTGGTTCCAGAACAAAGTTCTTTCCAGACGTCGACCTCCTTCGTGGTCACATATCACATATTTAGCTTTAGGGCGGAGCTACCTCGTGATTGACAGGTCTACCACGGCGGCTGTGGTAAATCTCCGTGTGGTTTGGTGAAAAATGAAGTTGGTGACAACCCAAAATCAAGATGGCAAGTGTGTTTGTACAGCAGCAACAGGGCGAATGTTCCCAAAAGGAGGTCACATGACCACATCCACCGCCTCCCTACAGCCGACAATCAGCTGTTCTGCTTGTTGGGTTCCTCACATTTGTCAGTTTCTTATCTGGATTTAGGGGGAAAATAACTACTGGAGCGATATAACGAAAGCTGCTGCGCTGAATTACCTTCGGTCCCTCGTTGTCCTTCTGGTGGACCGAGCAAAGCACTCGGTGGACTTGGTCCCTCATCCGGTTCTTGCTGCCGTGTTGCGTCAGGCTTCCCAAACACTGCTGCATTTGACTCTAGAACAAGTATTACTTTGAATACTTTCATCATACATAGTAAATTGTACTGTGTAACTACTCGGTACTAAAAGGAAGCAGAACTATGAGGACTTTTCCTCGTAGTGACTTAGTTTCACAATGTTGTGAATTGGTTCTGTTGCTAAAAATAAAAGATCCAAAAACTGTGATCAGTAGAAGTCACGGAGGAGTTCTAAAGAACTCATGTTAAAACCTTTATGTTAATCCATTAACACGAACATATAAAAATGAGGTTTTAGGATTGATGGATTCGACAGCTGTTCTAATTAGACCCAGCAGATGCCCCATTTATCGGACAAATGAACGATCCTCATTCATCGGAGGCTCCGAGGGGTTTGGAAATTATTTGTTCATGAATATTTCCGTCTTTGGCCCAAAAGCTGATCTAGTTCCTTTTTCCAGGCAGGCGTTGAAGCGCGAAGCTGTCAGTTATCTAAGTCGCTTTGGATAAAAGTGTCAGCTAAATGTAATGTAACGTAACGACATGTCATGTAAAGTCATGTCATGTAAAGTCATGTGATGTAATGTAATGCAACAGGGACCTGCAGCCCAAACACGCCTTTCAATGGTTGCGCTGCAGTCTTCACACCAGGTTTAAAAGCAAAACTATCTGCTGTAAACGGAACACTGGAGTGGGCGGGGCTAACCTTTAACCCTTCATCCAAAGCGACTTACAATGAGTGCATGTCCACCATACGGTCTGGTTTGTAAGGCGGTTTTAACTCCTCTGCAGCACATTAAACAAACATCCACGATAAGACGATTCTCCTTTTTGTTCTTCTCGACGCTTCCAGCCGACCGCTAAGAATACACTGAAAACTCTCAGAGGTTCCTCATAAAAACTTTATTAGAGTTCAGTTGCTCATTCTTTTGCACACAATACTGCATGTCAACACAACAATAAGGCATGTGTCCCAACACCTGTCCTCCATCTTTTTCTCTTGGTTTAACCAAACACACAATACATGCAAAGTGCCGCCTCTGTTCCCTGTAATGACCACAAATAATTCAACTATTAAGAAAAGAAAAATACATATAAAGAAGGTTCCTGAAAAGACAAACAGTCCTTTAGGAGTCTTACCTGCAGTATTGTAGTTATGAGTGATATGGTTGATAATGTGCATTATGTGTAGTTTATCGCATTAAGTAAAATGTACAGGATCAGATTTCATAGCTTTTATAAAACATGCCGTCGTCATCGAGGTGTCATGAGATGTGGAATTGAGGTCTTAAAGGACGCATCCTATGCCCATTTTTCCACAAGTTGATATGGTTCCTTGGGGTCTCGATGAAATGTTTGTAACATATTTTGGTCAAAATACCACAAGAATCATTTCAAACAGCCCCGTTTTTACCTTGTCAAGAACACCTCCCCACAGATTCACCTGTTTTGAGGGCCTGTTCCTTAAATGCTAATGAGCCAGTATTTTTTGAACATTGAATAGCGTGTTGATAGAGAGAAGGATCTGAGTCTAAAGGTGAAGCTCTACTGATGATGCTCAAACCCTCATCTGTGGTCATAAGTTGTGTGTAGAACAAGAAGCAGACAATCAGTTAAATGTGCAACTGTCAGGCATCTATGAGGCCAGGAACCTTGTCCACCTCCTTAGGATAGAGTGGAACATGTTGAGGAGTGAAGGTTGTCTGCACTCCCACCAGGAAGGAGACCCCTAGGTGGACCCAGAACACTCTGGAAGGAGCACGGCTCTGGATCCTGCTAGAAAGACCTAATTACCGAGGACAGGCACTACTTCTGGATCCAGATCCGCATCAGAAGAAGGTCAATCGATGGGGGGGGTTGAAGGCAAACCTCTCAATTCTTACAGTCTACATTCCAAACCCTCATCTGTGGTCATGAGTTCTGGGACGTCAAACTGTAGAATACTCCGTTTGCATTGGCAAGAATGAGATCTTCGACTTTACAAAGGAGGTTGTCTGGCAGCTTCTTCTTTGTGTTAAAGGGAGCCATGTTGGTTGGTTTGAGCATCTGCATTCTTGTGGGGGGTTCTTAACATCTCTGACAGGGGGCAGGAGGGAGACCTACCGGAAGGGGACCGGGGAGTAGAGCCAGATTATCCTATCTGCCCCGGGTACGCCTCGGGACCCCCGAGAATAAGATGGTGGGAAAATACAACTGGACTTCTTTCTGATTCCTAAAGATCTGATGATTAAAACAGATGGCCTGGAACCAATTGGCTTGTCTTTGACTTCAGTACCTGTTCTCACTCCAAAACAAAATAAATGTAGACTGAAAGACGGAAACAATGTTATACACATAAAAAGCTCCAGTCAACAGTAAAATGGAAAAAAGTAGTGAACCATAGCAGTACATTCAAAGACAAAAAGAGAGATGGGCAGGCGTTGTGGCACAAAGTCAATAAAATCTATCACCATAATCTAAAAGTCTCCCAAGGCTACTTGGGATGTGCTTTTAAATCTACTCACACATGAACATGCTTTGGAGCATTTGTCAGATGCAACGTAAACGTTACCGTTACTCATATTACTCACTACCTTCACTACCAGGGAAACGGACCGAGGAGCCCCGAGGTTTGCATGCAAAACAACAGTTCATGCATCTGCCCGGCCTTGGAGATAAAACCCTGTAGAAGATGCAGACGTCTGGGAAGCAGCTCGCTTGTTCATGTGGCAGAGATCCAAAAAACTGCACATGTACAAACCTTACGAAATTTAGCAAAATATCGATAAACTTCTATAAAACCGCACCAGCAAGGGGGGATTTATACGTCGTTTTTCCGCTGGTCATCCTGTCTGCCGTTTGTTATGGCAGCAAATCACTGTCAAAATCCAGGTTCAGGTTCATGCGGCGCGCAAGTTCACGAGCAAAAGTCTGCCACGCTGAGGGGGCGGGACCAGTCATCATGGTCTCTACATCTCATTGGTCACAAACCCCGTCTTTGGATTGGCTGGAGTGATGCACTCACACTATAGAAGTGTCGCGTTTGGGTTCAGTAGTTTCATGCCTCTGGTGTCGCTGCGTTAACTTCACTTCCTGTCTTGTCCTGTCGTCCCCTGTGATTGTTTCCACCTGTGTCAATCACCTGCACCTCCCTGTGTATTTAAGCTTTGTGCGTCTCGATTCGATTGTCATCGAATGGTCAAACCTGAATGGCGGTCGTGCTCGTGAATGTCTCGCCTGTGAGTTCCTGGTCCGTGTCTGCGTTTTTCCCTCCTGGTGTTTTGGGATTTTGGAGTTTTGGGATTTATTAAAATTACCTTTTGTTTTCAGAACTGTGCCTCTGCCTGCCCGTTCGTGACAAGAAGCCCATTTCAGCACTAAGGAAACGGGACAGAAAGTCGAAATGAGATAAAACGTTGTCAAAACAAATATTTCATATTTACATTTATATATTTAGATAAGATAAAATATTCGCAGGCTTCACAGAGTTGGACTTCAAGGACTTTTCCTCGCTCGAGGCAGACTTTTGCTTTTGAATGTTTGATTTGCGTGCGCGCATGAACCTGATTTGCACTCCAGGATTTTGTGACTTTCCACCATGAAAACGCGGCCTCATCAGGGCCGGCGTGACCAACGCGGGCGCTCATACATGGGACAAGACAAGACAAAGCTCCTCAGGCATCTGTTGGTGATCCTCTGCCTCGTTTGCAGATGTGGTGGCTACTTGCAGGGCGAGCTAGCGAGCTACTGGGGCTGCTGGCTAACTGCTCATATGCTCGCTAAAGAACAGCTAACAGAAGCTGCTCAGCTTAATTAGCTCAACTGACAAACCTACTGGCTACAAGTTAGCTAAAATAATCCGCCGGTTTAGTTGCTAAGTGGACTAAAAGTTGAATACGAGTTAAACTTTTAAGCAGTTACTTCATAACAGATAAGAATTATGTAAATTGGCTACAAAGCTAATGTGACAAATGTCCTGATTTTGGAGGTTTCCCAGTCAACAAACGGTATCATTTTTAACATCTGCATCAACAAACACCTAAAGACAGTAGACGTGTTCCTCGGTTTGTGCTGTGGCCCCGGCGGCGCTCAGGGGCCGAAGGGCCTGGAAGACTGGAAGTGGCTCGGCACTTTGGGCTTGATGCCTTTGCTGTTGTAGTAGTCAACCACCTGGTTGGGAACCTCCGCTAACACACTCTTAGCCAGAGCCGCTGGAGACGCCTGAGGACGAAACGAAAGGTAAATCCAGTCGTACGTAATAGTAATATACATTTGATCTGTATGACACTTTACATTTAGAACAGGAGACATGACAGAACTGTAAGAGAAGAAAAACAAAAGAACAACAGTTAGAAGCAGATTTGAATACATGAGTTTTAGGAGCCGTTTTGAATGTGGTTTGATGTACGACTATGGACAGGCGGCTCATCTGTTTGAGAAGCAGAAACATAGAATTTAATTTTCCACAGCAACGGCGGCTTTATGTGTCTGGATATTGAGAACCTGCAGCCGAGGAACGAGAGTCGGCAGCTCGGGGTCCGAGGCGGAGCGGATCCCTCAGAAAGGAGAAGGAGGAACTCGTTAAGCGAACACGAGCCCCGAGATCAAGTCCTAGATCTAATAAGACGCCGATAGAAAGAGATTACGTTTTGGCTCTAAGAGGTTGAAACTGGTTTAGTTCGGACTCAGACCGATCAGGATTCCCAGAGGAAGTTTTTCCTGAATTTTACCAACTGGGAGGAGATCTCAAACCCAACGGAAGGGTTTATACATCTGGGAACACGAGGAGCGGCCGGAGAAGAACATCCGGACTTCCCAGAGAAAAACAATCTCCATGCCAAATATATGCAAATATATGCATTTTACCATTTAAATCGCACGGAAGAGGAATAGATGCTAACGCTAACATTAGCTTCCCTCGGCTTGCCTCATTCCGTGACCAACACATGCGGTCGGCGGCTGCTCCGCCGCCTTGGGACACGCCGTCCTTCATTCGGTGCTTCATGCCGTTGGCTGGCGATGGTGGTCGAGAACGGGAGCAGATCTGAAACACTTCTTGAAGCTCGAGGCTGAAATTCGCTGCAATCTGAATACGTATTTTCCCCAAACAAAAATTCTGCAGGATAAAATCTTATTTTTCATGTATATAACGTGTGTAGAGTGAAACGTCTTCTAAGCGGTACATTAACTAACGGGCTGGTAGCTTGATATCTCCGCGGCCCTGGTGGCGGCTGTAGGTGGTTGGAGAACGCGGCCGTCCTCCAATCAGAGGATCGGCGGCTCGACCCCATAAACGCCAACATCCTCCTGTAGCTGTGACCGCTGTGAGTGGATGATCACATGACGTGTTAAAGCGGTCAGACTGGAACAGAGTCCATTTACTATCCCTTCTCCCCACAAATGAGTCTCGGTTTTTGCGCCGGCAGCTAATGTTCAGATTATCTGTCGGCAAGTCGGACTACCGGCGGCTCGAGAGTCTACGCGGGTTCTGCTGCTCGTCGGAGGAGAAATTGCCTCATTTCTGAGTCCAAAGACATAAAAACACTCTTTAATCACACAGATTTCACTTGGGAGGGAGAATCTGTAAAAATGAGTGGAGGAGATGAATCATGCCGGGAGTCTGTGACCGTCAGATGTCTGCTAAACACCAAAAATGAATTCTGCAGAAATCCATTATTTCCCACTTAGGAGTGCTTGGCGGATCCCCCCATATCTCTCCCACTCATCTCCCTTCATAAAATGGGAAAAACTCATTTATTCAATAACTTCCAATATGCTCTGATCCAGATTCAAGACTCTCTTCTTCTGGGCTCATCATCATGTCCACACTTATTCTGGGGTCTCTCAACGTTATAGAAATAATCACTGCATGAGTTTATATCAGGAAGACATATTTTAAATTAACACACCATCTGGCCGCCGCGTTTAGAGGCGGCGAGCAGCTAAATGTGTTTGTTATAATTACTTCATTTACATGGCAAAACAAGAGGTTATAAATACATGTGGGAAAGCAAAGCCAACATGGAGAATTAGATTTTAGGGAGTCCGGTTTCCTGAAACAAAAACAGGAGTTGATGTTGTGGTTGACTACAGCAGAGTCGACTGCAGTTCATTTTAATTAAAAAAGTAAAAGTATGTTTTGTAGATTGTTTTTTTTAGCTTTTGAAGGTAATCACTTCCTGGCCTCTCATTCCAAAATAAAACCTTTTGTATTTTCATTTTAGAGGCTTTTCTCAATATCCCACTAATGTAACATGAGTCCTCTCTCTTTCTTCCCTCTTGAAGACATGAAATCAGCGTGGTAGCCGAGTCGTTCCCTTCTGTGTGTGTTTAAACTCTGTGCTATTTGTTTTGCAGGTAACGTTATCGACCAATAGAAAGACGTGATGGAACAGCGGCCTCCTCAGGGAACGTTCCATTGCAAAAATGACACAATGAGCCTGAAAAAAGCAAAGAAATGAAACAGTAAAGGACCTAAAATGGCACCTGGTGGAACTCCTCTGTGGAAAAGGTCACGACGGACTCACGTGTTTGAAGTTGCGGAAGGGGACGAACTGGACAATGTCCCGGAAAACAGGTTCCCCTTTGGGCGACCGCAGGATCCCATCGTCTCCGTCCAGCATCTGCATGTCGCCGAAGTCGGCGTTACCGATCCCCACGATGATGACGGACATGGGGAGGTGGGAGGCCTGAACGATGGCCTCCCTCGTGTCTGCCATGTCGGTGATAACGCCGTCCGTCAGGATCAACAGGATGAAGTATTGCTGCGGGACGAGGACGTGACAACAGACTTATCAAGCTTTAGCAGGGAAGCACACGTGTACATACGTTCTTCTTTCTGTCTCACCATGGCTTCTTTGGTGTGGAGCTCCTGTGAGGCGGAGTTGGCGACCTTCTGGATGATGGGAGCGATGTTGGTGGGTCCGTAAAGCTGCAGCTTGGGCAGGCAGGCCTGGTAGGCCTCCACCACGCCCTGGATCCCTGACGGACGAGACAGACGACCCAAACCGTCTGATGGTTTGCTTGATTTGTCGACGTGATTTGTCGACGCGCACCGTGTCCGTGTTAGAGGCGACCCAGATGCACGGCGGCAGAGGTGATGTGATTTAGTGTGAAGTTCCTTCACCCTCACACAGAAACTCAAACATGGAGCAGGAGGCAACTTTCACAGTATTCAGCTTAAGATGAGATAATACGTAATTGATCCTCCGGGTGGAGAATCAAGAGCAGATACAATAAACACAACAAGATAAGAATCATTTATTAGTCATGCAATAGTGAAAGAATGGAAGTAAAGGATTGCTGCTCTATTCATTCATTGGTTTAGTCCAACAGTTTTCCCCTGATTCAGGGCTTTATGCTAAGCTAAGCTAAGAGCTCCCCATGTTTCCAATGTTAGCACTAAGCACTACATTATATATATATTTAATGTTAATGCAGTTTTAGATCTACTTTTGTTGTTGATATTGTTAATAGTTTGTCAATGAAACGATCATAAAGGTAAAGCTGATGATGATTCATGGTGGAGATGCGAGAGGAGCTTCACAGAACCTACCTGCACACTCCGGGTTTTCCTTGTTAAAATTCACTGCAAAGTCATGGGACACCTGGAGGAGATGGAGGAGATGCAAGAAGTCTGTTTGATCCGTTGGACATGCAGATAATCACTATGACACAAGGTGACCGCTGCATGGCATCATGGGAAAAGCCGGAGGAGGAGAAAGAAGAGGCCAGCTGCCAATCACCTGGAGACAGAGAGCATGCTGGGAGCTGAGCGGCCACGTTACCTTGTAGTCAGGAGGGATCTGAGCGCCGAAGCCGAACGCAGGAAACATTTTGTCACTGCGAGAATAAAAAGAGAAAAAAAAAACAATGGAGTCCGAAGTTGAAAATGGAAACAAGGGTTTGTGATTGGCTGCCGGCAGGAGTTAACGAGCTCATTCAGATGGCTCATACTTCACCACACGGCCCGGAGACGACCTCTGATTGGCTGTGGGCGGGTCAGGTGATGACCAAAAAAACTATGACCCACTTGAATCAAACGTTACATTTTTGTTGTTCTCTCGTCAGCGATAAGAGCCTCGTTCCCTGAAGGGTTTGGTTCAGGGTTCTGGGTTCTGGGGGTTCGAATATCCACCCTCAGAGAAATGTAAAGAACCCAGTTTGGGGTTTCAGGGAACTACTTCTGGACGAACAGCAGCGTATCCATCCGCCACAGGGAAGATGGTGGCGTCACTAACTCATCTCAACCCATTGCTGCATTCTCTATAATGTCCAGCAGGGGGCAACTCCTAAGGCGGCATAGACATCTATGGGAAGTCGGTTGACTTGGGTTCATGTCACTGATCACTGATCCTCTTGGAAGGTGGACGTAATGACGCTGGCTGGTCTCACATGGTCTCACGAGCTGCAAACCTTCATTATGTTTATTGCTCACATGAAACAAGAAATCCTTTGACACAAAGTAAAGCCTGAAGGTTTTTAAAAGTCCTTCGTAGCGTAAAAAACAATGAAAGCAGAACAAGAGACGATAGGTTTAAGAGTCTGAGAGGATGTGTTACTCCAGTCGTTTTGAGGGTACTGTGCCTTTAATGAATACATTCCTGTGATTGGCTGCTGCGCTCTGACCCACCTGTCGTAGTCCTGGCAGATCTCCCCCACGGCCACCAGGGCCTTCAGGTACTCATTGGGTTGGTACGGGTGGATGTAGTGCAGCGAGCAGCTGTTTCGAGGATCTCCGTTCGACGCAGTGAAGTCAATGGCCACCTGGAAACACGGCAACCAATCAGAGCGCAGCGTCAGCTCGTCTGCCAGCTCCAAGGCCGGCCTCGTACACGAGATGGAGGTTCGAGTGAATATGATGTCAGCAGTTGATGCTTTAGGGCGGGGCTACTCGCTGATCGACAGGTCTCTACGACCTCGTCAGTCCAAATGTGGAAAACGCCCCCCGCCTTGTTTCAGCATGAAGGGACGAAGAATAAACCTCTGGATTCTCATTTTTACAAACTAATAAAAGAAAAAGCTTCACTTTAACAATACTTGATGTCTTTATCGATGGACGTCAACGGGGGGAAACGTTTTTAGGGAAAAGCCTCAAGTTATCAATGATTATCGACATAAACTTCCAGCCTTGTGTGCCGAGCTGCAGCGTCGCACTGGTTAAACTGGTCGGATCCCAGCGAGAGCCGCCAGCTGTAAACTGGGACAGTGAGGCTGCTGCTCCCGTCACCGTGGTTACCGTTTCCATGGAGACATCAGAAATTAATACCAGTCTCATTTGTTCTTCTTCTTCTCTTGACAGGAAGACGACCTGTGTGTGTGTCTGTTTGTGTGTGTGTGTGTGTGTGTGTCAGTGTGCGTGTGTGTGTGTGTGTGTGTGTGTGTGTGTGTGCGCTCACTGTGAACTGGATCTGACAGCCCCCCATGATGTAGTCCAGGAACGAGTGCATCTTGATGATCTGCAGACAGAACGTTGCATATTTACTTCTCATCAGCTGACTGTTGTTGATCAGACTCACTCATTTATTGTACAACGTGAAACATGTCGTTCATCACAGACGTGTGTTCAAAGACTGTTGGAAAGATGAGAATGTGACGATGATGTCGCTCCGCCTCCGTCTCTACTTCAGGGATTACGGCTCATTTGAGTCCCGTCGCTGGTTAATTTGATAGATGCAGTTTTTATTTTTGTTTTGAGTCTTGATTTTTTGCTGTTTCTTTACTTTGTTCTAAAATGCGTTTTATTGTGTTTGACACTCCCACTAAAGAACAAACTGTGATGGTGGTTAATGTGGCGTGTTAGAAATACACTGACGACCCGGTTCATAAATGAATAAAACGCATTTAGTGTCACCAGAATACAGCCATGATTCTGGAACTATGTATCAATAAAGTAATGAGAATATTGTAAAACCACTGTAATTCTGCAACTGTAATCAACAGAATAATACAAATGTACAGCTATGATTGTAATGTAACCAACTGGAATGAATGAATGAATAATACTTGACTGAGAGACATCCGCGTTACAGCAGCCCACCAACCTGCACACCTCTACTGATCTGTATGAATACCTGCAGGCGCCCATGGTCCTACAGTTACACTGTGGGGGGTCAAAGGGCACTGTGGCCTGTTGGGTCAGCTGAGATGTTCTTTTTACCACAACTTTTGGTTTTAACTCTTCAATCCAACATGTCTTCTGTCTGTCTGCAGTTTCTCCATGTTTAGAACACAACTTGTGTCTCTGGTCTCCACTGTCCTCCAGCTCCTAAACGCCTTCGCTCTTCTTTCCTGCACGCCGCCTCCTCGTCTGTCGCGTGCTAATGAGACGGCGCCTCGGCTTCTTTAAGCCGCCGCTGAGCGCTTTAAGAGCGGCGGGCTGCTGGAAAGCCCCCCGACTCACATGATGCCTCCTGTTTACTTCAGCGTGCTGCTGTTTGTTCATCAACAATAAGAAATCCATCAGCTAGTTGTACTAAATGACCGTTCAATGAAGCCACTTCTCTCTCCAGTACGCCATAACTTGCCTTTGTACAATAATCAAATAATATCATTAATAATTAGTTATGGAATTATAAGACAATGAAATTAGGCGGAGGACCTTCACATTTCATGAAAACAGATTTACGTGGTTAACTTATCAAACAAATTTCGTCCGGTATCTTTGCCGCCTGTTTCATCTTTCTTCATCGCATACAGCGTTTGGGTTTGTGAGCAGGATTCTGAGGAAAAAACTACTGGACTGTTTTCACTGCATCGAGAGTTATGACATCATCATTAAATCATCGTTCTTCGCCTTGGTGGACGTTTGCTTTGTTACGAACGTAACCGACGCGTTCATGAGCCAAAACCAGCTATCGAGTATCGTGTTTCCCAGGGTTGCTTGAACACACGGCGAGTGTCTGGTGTGAAGTCACCTTGCACTGGTTGAGAATGACGATCCCAGAGTTCTTGTAGTTCTTCTTTTTGACTGTGTACTTGGGATTGAGACACGGCCACTGCACCTGGAAACACACAGCGACTCTGATCATTACAGTGATACTGTGATAATAACAGGGTTGGATCCATGTTTGCAGACACAAACAGACACAGAGAATCTGCATGTGACAAACAGCTGGTTGACGTTGACAACAGGAAACTGACGTCTCAGGTGCTTTCAAAATAAAAGCGTCCGGCAGCTTATCTCTGATCCGTTTGTCAGGTGAAGCTGATCAGAAAAATGCAAATTCAGCCATGAAAAGTCCATCTTGTGGCTTCTTCCTGATCCACCAGTGCATCTGTGTTTGTTTGTGTTGACAGTCTTCTAACCTCTCTCTTTATGCAGACCCCCCCCCCACACTAGTGCTCTGAGTGTAACTCATAGGCCCAAAAGGATGAAGTGAGATGAGGCCTCTGAGCTCCCAACGAGCTCCATCAGGAAACTTTCAAGGACCTTCCCCTGAAGACGGAGGAGCACTGGCTTGTCTTTGTGTCTCTGTGGTGTCGACACCTTTAACGCACACTGCGGAGGAATGACAAGGTGTTGAGTCTAACATGAGGGGTGTTGACAGGAATGAAAACATCCTTATTCACAGTCGCAGTCCTCTGGTCACACGGCCAGTCTGTCCATGTGTGGACACGGCGAGAGGGTGAGACCATCAATAACTCGCTGAACCCAGTCGCACAACGCCTCGATGGCGCCGTGCCATCAGATCGTCACAGGATCGCTAACAAGACAGCGCGTTCTCAGCCGAGCGACGTCATCGTTAGAACAAAGATGACAATGTGCTGTAAAAAACGCCGCTCAAGGAGCAGCTTTAATTAGCGGCTCAGCAGCTCCGCCGTCTGTCGGCTTGAGCTGAACAGGTGGGCGGTGTTCAGGGAGGTCCTGCTGCTGTTTGGCTCTTCTATGCGATCTGGAGCTGCAGGACCTTTGAATGGAATGTTAGTCACGGTCTCCTACCTGTTGTCCATCGATGGCTCCTCGTCATCTCATTGTATGTCATCTCATCGTATCTCATATCATCTCATCACATCTCATTGTATCTCATCATATCTCTTCATC